ACCACCAGTGACATCCCCAGAGACTCCACTCAGAGACCCTCTGATAGATACCCTTGACATTCCCAGAGACTCCACTCAGAGACCCTCTGATAGCTACCCTTGACATCCCCAGAGACTCCACTCAGAGACCCTCTGCTGACCACCAGTGACAGCCCCCAGAGACTCCACTCAGAGACCTTCTCTCAGGGCTTCTGCTCACAGACTCTAGGATAGATATTCTTGTCACCTGGGACCCCTCAAATCACCCTCCGCTTACAGGTTTCTTAAGGAACTTCCCCCTTCAGAGATTCCCCTAAGACCTTGGGAACTCTTCCTCTCAGATTCCTCAAACCCCTCTCTCCAGACTCCCCTCAAAGATGGCTAACTTCAGTCAGTAGACATTTACTAAGTATCTGCTGTATGCCAGGCACTGTGCTAAGCTTTCCTCCCTAGAGACCTGAGGGACCTCCCCTCCCCCCCCAACTGAGGGTATTCTGATTTACAGGCACCAGGAAGGGACCTTGCTCCCCCTCCTCACCTTGAAGTGGCTCTGCTACCTACCACTTGTGTGACCTTGACCAATTCTCTTCTTTTTACAGTTTCCTTCTTTCTAAAATAAAAGCAGTTGATCTAGATGATCTCTAAGAGTTCTAAATCCTACAATCCAGGCATTGGGCTGACTCTCTTGAGATCTCTGTTATAGGTCTTCCTGCCTCAGCTGCCCCTGTCTTAGTTTCCTCATCAGTAAAGTGGGGATAATAACACTGGTACTTAGATTTGTTGTGGTTAAAGTACTTTTTAGCATTTTGTAGGGCTACCTTGTAGAGCTGATGTGAGGGTTAAATCAAATGAGATAATATATGCAGACTTTAAAGTGCCATATAAATGTTAGCTATTGTTGTAGGCATTGAAGTACTATAGAAACATGAGAAGTTATTTTTTCTGTCTTGAGTCTTTTCCCAGAGCTGTACGCAGACCAGAGCTAGAACTTAGACTTGTAAGCCCTGCTCTACCCTTCTCATACGACCTTCTTAAATTAAGCTTTCTCATTCCAAGGGCCACTAAGACCCTGATCAGAGACATTAACCTTGGGGTAGTTTATAGATCTGGAGACTGAGGACCTGAGTTTGAATCCTGCAGCTGCAACTTTACTAGCTATGTGAACCTGGGCAAGTCACTTTACTTCTCTGTCTTCAGTTTCTTTACCTGCAAAATGAGGGCCTTGGACTAGTTGATATCCTACTGTAAATTCTTTGATCCTATGACTGTCCTTTCAGAGGTCACTTGAGCTCCTGTAAATACTCCTGCTTCGTAAATATGTATTTAGTATTTTTTTCCACTGATGCTGTAATCCTTGATTCTCTGACTCCCTTTCTCCCCAGCTTTTGGCCCTTGTTTATCTTATCTGAGGCTCTCCTGGCCACACTAAGAGGCAGCCCCTTTCCCATATGACTCTCTACTTGTGTCGATTATCATCCCTTAAAGACTCTTTCATGGGAACTGTCCACAAACCCTGTCTTTCAGATTCTCACAAACATTTTTAAAAAACCTTATTTTTATTGATGTGATTTAATTTTTGTGTTAATATCACCTTTATTTCCTAATACATTCCTCTCCTTTCTCCTACCCAGTGAGCCATCTCTTGTAACAAAGAATAAAAAAAAAGAAAAAATAGCAGTTCAGCACAACCAACACGTGAATCATGTCTGACAGTATATGGAATATTCCACAGTCATAGTCCTCCTTCTCTGCAAAGAAAAGAGGAAAGCACAGTTTTCCTAACCCTTCTTGGGTGCCAGGCTTGGTCATTATAATTACATACTGTTTAGTTTCCTTTTTTGTTCTCTCCATTTACATTACTGTAGTCAGTGTCTCACAAACATTTGTTAAAAATCTTCTGTTTGCAGAGAACTATGCTAAATGCTGGGTGAGATGGAGAATTTAGATAAGACGTGGAGTTTGCCGTTCTGGGATTTTTCTAGTACATACACAAATAGCATTAAAATTATGTAAGTGCATAAGAGAACTGCAGACCAAATGTGATGCATCTTCTTGGGGGTGGGGAGAGGGAAAGATCATTTCTGACTAGGGCAATCAGGGAAGGCTTGATGGAAGAGATGACGTTTAAGTTAAGTCTTAAGGGATAGGTAAGATTTCAGGGGCTAGCGACAGGGGTTAGGGAGCATAAAAAGCATAGGTAGTGTGAGCAAAGGCATTCAGTTTGGGCAATATTTGGAGGAGAGTACTATGGAAGGTTAGGATGATGAATTTTTGTGGAGGGTTTCACATGCCAGGGCTAGGGAGTTTGAATTTTATTTAGTAGGCAGTAGGATTTTGTGCAGAAGTATGATATAACTACATTTATGCATAAGAAAGATAAATCTGGCAGACGTATGAAGGATGATTTGGGGGTATATGTGGGAGGGACTGTTAGGAGGCTGTTAACAGCGTTTCAGGCAAGTAGTAACGAAGGCCTGCACTAGGGTCATGGTATTGGAAATAGAAAGGAAGAGATTAATCTGAGAGATACTTTGGAAGTGGAGTTGACAGGATTTGACAACTGATTGGATGGGAGGTTGAGATAAGGGAGAGAGAAAAACCAAAAGATGACTCCAGAGTTCACGAACATGGGTAACTTGGTGAACGGTGAGATCACTGACAGAAATAGGAAAGTCAGAAAGGGGAGAAAGTTTCTTGGGGAAAGCTGTTGAGTTTGAGGTGACAGGAGAATATCCAGGAGGAAAGGATCTATTATGTCGTTGGAAATGTGAGTGTGGAATTTGAAAGAGAAGTCACAGTTAGAGGTACAGATTTGGTGATACTGAGGTGATAATTGAAAGTAAGGAAATGAATGAGACTGCCTAGGGTGAGAATATAGAGAAAATTATATCTTGAAGAACATCAAAATTAAGGGATGAGAAAGAGGACCCATTAAAGGAGAGACTCAGGGTGCCTCTCAAAACAAGATTTTTGGGACACCCTGTATAGTAAGAGCAATAGGAGGAAAACTAGAAGAGTTCTTCCCCAGCTCAGGGCAGCTGGGTGGTGCAGTAGATAAAGCACTAGGCTTGGAATCAGGAAAACTCATCTTCATGAGTTCAAATTCAGCCCCAGACACTTGCTAGCTGTGTGACCCTGGGCAAGTCACTTAACCCTAGTTGCCTCAGTTTCTCATCTGTAAAATGAGCTGGAGAAGGACATGACAAATCACTGTTATTATCTTTGCCAAAAAAACCCCAAATGGGTTCACAGAGAATCAGATATGACTGAAAGTGAATGAACAACTCTTCATCCTAGAATATCCATGAGGAAAATAGTTAATAGTGTCAAAAGCTGCAGAGAGGTCAAACAGGATGAGGACTTAGGAAAGACCTTTCGGTTTTGCTTTGGAGATTGTTGGGGAACCTTTGAGAGATGTTTCAGTAGAGTGGTGGGAATGGAAGAGAGATTGAAAAGGGATGAGGACTGAGTGGGTGGTGAGGTATTGGAGTCATCAGATATATACTCTATTTCCAATAAGCTTAGCAGTGAAAAGGAATAATGAAGTGGGATGGTAGCTTGATGGAATAAAAGAGTTGCAGAAAGACTTTTTTAGGACTGGGGATGGGATATCTGATTGTAGGCTTATGGTATTTAGAGTAGGAAGGGACCCTAGAAATTATTTAGTTCAGCTCTCTCATTTTACAGATGAGAAAATGGTAATCTAGAGATGCTGAGCTGCCCAGGGTCACACATGTAGTAAATAGTAGAGCCAGGATTCAAACCCAGCTCCTCTGACTTCAAATGTCCTACTATGCTGTATCTGAGGACAAAGGAAAGAAGAGGGGATGATTGATAGAGCAAAGTCCTAGTGGAGCCAGGAAGCCATGCTTTCCCTCAGAAATCAAGTTGTATCTATTTTTAAAAATTTATTTATTTTTAGTTTTCAGCAATCACTTCTATAAGCTTTTGAGTTTTAAATTTTCTCTCCCTCCCTCCCCAAGAAGATGTACAATCCTGATATAGGCTCTACATATACATTCCTATTAAACATATTTTCACATTAGTCATGTTGTAAGGAAGAATTAGAACCAATAGGAGGAACCACAAGAAAGAGGAAACAAAACAAAACAGAAGAAAAGACAAAAAGAACAAATAGTATGGTTCAATCTGCATTCAGACTCCATAGTTCTTCTCTGGATGTGGATAGGATTTTTCATCATGAGACTTTTGGAGATGTCTTAGATCCTTGCATTGCTGAGAAGAGCTAAGTCTATCAAAGTCCATCAAACAGGGTGACTAGTTAAACTGTGTGCAATGTTCTCCTGATTCTGCTCACTTCACTCAGCATCAGTTCATATAAGTCTTCTCAGGTTTTTCTGAAGTCCTCCTTTTCATCACTTCTTATAGCACAATAGTATTCCATTACCTTCATATACCACAACTTGTTGAGCCATTCCCCAATTGATAAGCATCCCCTCAATTTCCAATTCTTGGCCACTGCAAAAAGAGCTGCTATAAATATTTTTGTACATGGGGGTCCTTTTCCCATTTTTGTGATCTCTTTGGGATACAACCCTAGAAGTGCTATTGCGAGGTCAAAGGGTATGCACATTTTTATAGCCCTTTGGGCATCGTTCCAAATTGGTTGAATCATTTCACAACTCCACCAACAGTGCATTGGTGTTCCAATTTTGCCACATTTTCTCCAATATTTATCATTTTCCTGTTTTGTCATGTTAGCCAATCTGATTATCTATTTTGTTTAAGCCTATGTATGGAAGCTTGTATGGAAGCTCCTTGAGCGCAAGCTCTGTTTTTCCTTTTGTCTTCATATTCCCAGCACCCAGTAGGTGCTAAATAAATGTCTATTGATTGATGGACTAAAGGACCCAAGGTAGAGAGATTAGTCTTATCTAAGATTAGGGGTATTTCTTCCTCTGAGATAGAAGAGGAATAGTGAGTGTGATAATGCTGAGAGTCTTTAAGTGAACTATGGGAGTGCCCATTTCATGCCTTGGTCTTTTTGGTAAAGTAGGAGGCCAAGTCATCTGTTGTGCAAGAGTGTGTTGGGAGTGAAGTGAGGTGGCTGGTGGAAGAGCTGGAGGTAGGTCCTTGAGGATAGAGGAAAAGGTTTGCAACAGTCACTTTGGTAAATGAGCTAGGGAATTCCAGAAAGCTGATTGGAGGAGGGGTTGCTGAACAGCAGTGAGGGTCTAGCTTACGCTACGTACCATCTATTTATAGTGGGTCAAATCAGTATGGTTTCAATTTAGCAAATAGTGATTAAGCACGCAGTGTTTATAAACCACTTTTTTTGGTGATACTCAGCAGCTTGGAAATAGGAGTAGTTAAACTAGGTGGTGGAAGTTACCTAGAGTTGAAGATTAGCAGGTTGGGAATAATAATAGGTCATAAGGAAGAGATACTCTGATGTATTGAGAGTAAATCATTAATATGATTTCCTTTGAGGTCAGTTGAATCTGAGAGGTTGTTTCCGTCTCCTTGATCGTGTCCCTTTCTACCTCTGTTCTTATTCCTGTTCCTTTCCATGACCACCTTTCTGGAAGGTGGGGGTGGGTACTAGAATACTGGGATTGGGGATTTTGCAATCCTTTTTCAGAAAAAGTCTTGGAAGACAAGAAGTTTCCTAAATGAATTCTTTTTTTCTCTTAGTCTTGGGAAATCTCTCTCCTTGGGTTTTTCTTAGTCCAGGTTCCTCTCCTGAGGGCTGTTAGTGAGAGGGAACAGCAAAAGGGTTAGAATCTCCACTTCAATTAGATATATATTTTAGGTGTATGTCTGATTCTTACATTACAACTGAAGACCAGCATACATTAATGAAAAGATTATGCCGTGGCCAAATTATTCCTCACTGTTTAAAGTTCAGTTTGGGAGTGGAGCAAGGCTTCCACATAACTCCACTGTGTGATAATGAGAGTCAACATGATGTACTGAACAGAGAACAAAGCTGAAAATCAGGAGGTGAGGGTTCTAGTCTTGGCTCTATCACTCAATACCTGTGTTGCCTTGAGTAAGTAAATCAACCTATCTCCTCTAGTAATCATTTTCCAATAATATTTTCCCTGACTAACTCGCAAGGCCCTTTGGGTTCAAGAAATAATTGATGTGGAAGTGCTCTAAAATATTAAAAGCTCTATGCAGATGTAAAGCATTTATAATTAATCTTTGGAGGATTTGGAGAGTAGTTCATGAAAGAAACCCCAGATTTTGTTTTTGAGGGTAGAAAAAGGGGGAAAAATGCATATTTGTCTTGGCAGTGATCATTAAACCAGATTGTTATAGGTAGTGAATTTTTCAAGGTCAGGAAATGGCAGTATAGTGTTTCACATAGTTTGTTCTCATAATGACAGAATGTTACAGCTAGAAGAGCCGTTGGAGATCATCTAAGAGGGCAAAGTTCCCTCATTTTATTGGTGAAGAAGCAGCCTCAGAGAGGCCATAGGATTGTAGATTTAGAGCTGGAAGGGACTTTAGAGGGCATCTAGTTCAACCTTCTGATTTTACCAGTGAGGAAACTTAAGCTCTCAGAGGTGAAATGATTCGCCTAAGGCACACAGGTAGAGTGGCAGAACTGAAATTTGAACCCAGGTCATCTGACTCCATATACTCCATATTCTTTCCAGTTTACCACACTGCCTGTGTCTAGATCGATTTTCTAATATTATGTACCCAGCACGTGAGGCAGGTACAGTGATATTGTTGGACTATTAAAGGTGAATTTAGAGCTGACCAACCACCTTTGGACTACAGCAGCACGAATTCCCTCCTTTGCTCTGGTACATTTGTTATGCCAAGTATAGGAGCAAGATCAGGAAGAAATGGTTACTGTAGGCCTGAGTGGGCTGGTTTTGTAGAAGAGCAGGGTCTTCTAGACTGACTAGTAAAAGCTGAACAAGGAGTAAGATAAAGGAATAATTGTTGTCTTTCAGAGGGTGAGAAAGAAAATACACAGGCTTTGTGTTGGGGTCATTTTAGAACTTATGTTTTGAAATTGCCTGGCTGTTTCAGGAGGATGGTCTTGGATTAAATTTCTCTTTTTTTTTTAATGATACAAATGATGAATTATATTTATACAGTAAATAGTGTCAATAGTCAGCACAAATTCAAAAAAACAGCACAAGATAGAATCCATCCACCTAAAGGCCCCCTGACCTGCAGGGTCCCCTTCCCTTTCCCCATCCTGTCCTAGGCCTCCCCTAGCACATACTGTGGTTTCTATAGAGTATAAAACTGACCAAATAAATAATTGACCACACTTACCAAGATTTTTTTTTTTGCTTTTTGCTTTTTTATACAAAAGAATTACTAACACTATTTGAACTTGGGTCAATTTGACCAGTAAGGCTATTTTTGGGTCCCTAACATACCTGACCAGAGCACCTTATTGGGAAAGTTAAAACTGGATTAAATTTCTGAAAAAACAAACAGACAAACAAGAAACTGAGACCAAACAAAACAAAAGATCATCTGTATAGGCTTCATGTAGTCTACAAAATAAAGAGGCCAAGTGGCAGAAAAAGGACCCAGGTCTTCTGATTCTAACTCTAGCATTCTTTTCCACTACTGCTGATGACCTTCACCCTTTCTCTCCTTTCACAAGTGAATAAATATACTTTTAAAAATTTCTTTTGGTTCATAGAGAATGTGAGAGCTGGATTTAATCAACTTGTGATTTTCGATTTTCAGAAAGATTAAAGGGAAATATATTTTGAAACACAGTAAAAGCCATTTCAGATATGTTTCTGTTGGTTTCCAGCATACTGAATTGCAGATGTGTGTTGGTATTTGGGCTCTGATTCTGATTTTAGTTTGGCCCATGGCCTCTGTCCTACAGGATAATGTTGGCAGTTGATTTTGTTCCTGGGATGAATTGGAAACAGTCTGTGTGCAGAAAAGGGAGTGGGGAAGAAACTTAGTCATTTGAGCCTGATTCCCACCACTTTAATTATTGTTACTCCAAGACTCATATTCCAAATGGCTCCTTTATGAGCTGTATTTTTAATGAGCTGTTAAACTTTTAGGCTAGAAAGAATTGTTTGAAAGGTGAGGAAAAAGATTTGCAGTTCAGAGTGGAGATTAACATACATATAATTCTATAGTTCTTGTGTAATTGTATGCTACTAGACTATTGTAGAGATGAGGTTTTTGCTCATTTTGTTCCTTGTCACCTGGTATGAAATTTTCTTGGTAGGGTGTTCAGGATTTTTAAAAGCTCTGCTGCCTAGGTTTTAAGATTTACCAGTAGAATTGTCACTTAATGAAAGTGAGTCAAAAAAGTGAGTAAAATCTTTCATGGAGAGAGAGTTCAGAAGTTGTCCAATTCACCTCTGCTACTAGGATTACATTTTCAAAACTGGACAGGTAACATTTTTGAGAGGGATTTCCAAGGGAAGGGATTGTGCATCTTACTGGATTTGTAACTAAGTACAAAGGCCTTAGCACAATCAAACTGGTCTCAGAAAGTGTGGTGGCAAAAAAAAAAAATTATTACTATTTGGAGGATAATGTGATTTATGTTTGTTTGGTGTGCTTCCTCTACATTAATCTTTCTGTAGTCCAAAATAACAAATTTAACCACTTGTAGGCTGGACTTTGGAAAGGGACCTTTTACCAAGATGACCCACACCTAAGTGTAGGCTCAGTACCTTGAGAATATAAATTCCATTTCCCTCAATGTTTTGGGTAATTAATTATATTAGATTATTGACAAAATGGTTACTAATTAGAAAAATATAAGGAAGAGTGTTCTGTAGTCCGATTAAGAACTGAACAATACTAAATTTAATAAGTGTCTTGTGTTACATCTATTGAATAATTAAGCTTTCATTATTTTTCTTTTGGCCCTTATCTTTAGAGGGATATCGCCTTACATTGTAATTCTGGCAGTATTAGATAGCTCTGATAAGTGCTGCCTTAAATTTAAGTACAGAAAACGATTGGTTGATAATTCTCAGCTTCCTTCTGTATCTCACAGAACTATAGGATGTTTATAAGTTTTCTCCTAATACCTATAAGACTCATTATCATATTATATTTTCACATATTTAGAGCTGGAAGGAATCTATTCCAGTTCTTTCATTTTACAGGTGAAGAAACTGAGGCTAGAGAGGTTAAATAGCTTGCCTTAAGAGACATGGGTAGTAGGTAGCAGAGCCCGAATTAGAATATAGCCCCTCTGCTAACCTGGAACTCTTTCCCACTATACCATGTGAACTTCATCCTAGATTAAATTCACTCCTTAGTCTGTTTTTTCATAGAGCTATGTTGGAAGAGAGATAGAAATTACCCAGTTTTGTTAACATTTGCTTTTTTAGTAAATCTTGCCTTTTCTTTCTTCCTAGGATGGAGCTATGGATCTGCTGAAGGAACTGAAAAGCATGCCAATTACTCTAGATTTGCTTCAGGTAAGTCTTTCTGCCTTCCCACTAGGAAACTGAAAATCTAATTATAGAAACTTCCTTTTGAGTAAGGTTAATTATTCAATTAGATAAACATTTAGTACTCTGTACAAGCAATGCCCTGTTCTAGGTGTTGGAGTTATAAAGATGAAAGTTGATAATAGCCTTTTCCTCCAAGGAGCTTTTGCCTTATAGAGTAGGATGTGACACGTACACAAATAAGTATGATATAAGATAGAATGAGCCAAGGGCAAACATGTGGTCTAGACACAGTGCTCTTGGAAAATTTGAGGAGGAAGAGAGAGCTTTTAGCTGGGAGAGTGAAGTTTCAGGGAAGGGTTTGTAAAGGAGGAGGCATCTGGCCTAAACTTTGGAGGAAGGAGGAAAGACTTTGACACGCAAAAATGAGAGTGAGTTGTAGGAATGAGAGATGACCAGTGATCACAGGATCATAGAATTTAGAGATCATCTAGTCAGCTCTTCATTTTATAGATAAGTAAATTGAGGCCTAGAGAAGTTGGGACTTGGCCAAGGTTTCACAGCTGGTAGTTGGGACTAGAACCCAGGTTTCCTAGCTCTGAGCCTGTGCTCATTCCACTACATCATTCTGCCTGCTCTGTATATGTGTTAACCTATGTATGCTTACCAGCAGTAGTGACTTAAACTGAGATGGTTCTAAACTTTTAACGATAATGTCACTCCTTTGGAGAGTTCATCTACCATAAGTGACTGTTCAAACACAGTTCTGTGATTTCACAAGGGAAATGGACTTCCTCTTCCTCTCCCCCTTGTTCTTTTTTTCTCTTGGTACTATTGAATTTTTTGAATATATTATTGTAAGAGTTCAAAAATAGCAGGGTAGAAGATGGACTAACATCTTTTTCAGATTAGGATGCATGTTTCTCAAAATCATACTGACAAGAGCTATTGAGAACATTTAGTCAGAAGTGATCCTGAGGATTTTTGGGGTACCTGTCAGCAGACTATTGGTCATTAGACCCTACGTACTGATATAATAACGGTAGTAGGCTGAATGACATGGAATACATGTGAATTGAATAGTGAGCCTCAGATTTGAGTCCCTGGCAAAGTGGTTTTACTAAGGTGAGAGGTTTGCATAGCTGGGTTAGACCACTCTTTAAAAAAATATGAAAATATGTATGTGTGTGTATCATTAAATATTTCCCAATTACCTGTAAATATTTTTAACATTTATTTTTGATTATTATTTAATTATTTTTTATTTAACCAAACAAAAAATATATTTAATTATTTAAAATTTTTGAATTCCAAATAGTCTCCTTCCCACCCTTCCCCCTCCTTGAGAAGGCAAGTAATTTGATACCAGTTATATATGCAAAACATATTTGTCATGTTGCAGAAGAAAATACAGACAAAAAAATTCAAGAAAAATAAAGAAAGTAAAAAGCTTCAATCTGCATTTAGAGTTCATCAGTTCTCTTTCTGGGATTGGGCATTTTTCCTCATGGGTCCTTTGGAATTGTGGATTAGACCACTCTTAAAAAATTTTGTGAACAATTTCTTTCTTGAATGTTGATTCGTAGTCTACCCGGATTGGGATGTCTGTGAATGCATTGAGAAAACAGAGTACTGATGATGAAGTTATCTCACTTGCTAAATCTCTCATCAAGTCATGGAAAAAACTGCTGGGTAAGTGCCCAACCTGTGTTTGGTTAAATGACAGCTAAGGCATTTAGTAAGAGTAGTAATTCATTTATTATGGCAAAACAAAAGTCTCTAGGCCCTATTTATATAGCATTTTAAGGTGCTGAGGAAGAGAGGAAGAGAGAGAGGTGACTCACTTTTGGAAGGTGCACTAGTTTTTAGGCTGTCAAGGACAAAATTCTCTCCTCCCTTGCTTTTCATGGTTCTTATGCCCTTCTCCAGAGTGGAACATTTTATTATGATCTTACCTGTAGCATATGATCTACTCTGTCACTTTTACTGCTATGTAAGTTTAAGTGTGATTGGAGTCTGTTGTTGGGAATATAAGGGACTTCATAATTGAATTAATATGAGCCAGTCAATGCTGAAAGCAGTGGGCACTTTTATTTGATATGTATAAGAGAAGGGCCCAAAGGGAGGGCTGTGTAGCTTAGACATCTAAGAGAATTGGGCATGAGGACAACAAGAGAGGGCAGTTCACTGACCTCCTCCTTCAACTTGGGACCATAACATCTCTAGACTTGGGTAACTATCAACTCCTTTACACTGAGACTTCCAAAATGGAAGTAAGAAGGGACAGGGAAAGGGTACAATCATCCTTGAGCGCCATAGTCTTCAGGCCATGTCAGGAAGAGATTGTTTATGATGGTCTGCTGAAAGGCATATGTAACCCACTATATGGTTTCATAATGTTCCAACTTAGAACCCCTGAGTCCATGTTTCAGGGTAGCTCTGGCAGTTGAGTTGCCGGGAGGGTAATGATAGTTGCTCAGCTCAGGGGTCACGTCTTCTGATACTGTTAGAGGGAAGGGGATAGGTACTGCTCGTGCAGGTGGGATTTGCTTTCCACCCCTGAGGTGACAGTCAGAGATATACCAATCAGCTAAGAAACTGAAAGTTTCTAGCCTGGAATAGAAGATCCAAAATAAAGGATGTTCCAGAGAAGAGAGAGGACAGAAATAAGGGGTTACCAGAAAGGAACTTAGTTAGGCTGTTGGACAGAGAAGCACTTGATAAGGAGAAAATCTGTGATTTTTCTGAATAAGTTTATTCCTAATTATTTTTGATAAATTATTATTAGTCTTCTTCACTTAAGTCTTCCTCTAATGCCTCATATTTATATGGAAGTGACCCTGACCTCTTGGAGGCTATGTTAGCAGAGTGTAACCCTTGGTGATGGATTATATTCATCCAGGTGAGAAATAGTCTAGCTGAGTGCACAGAGGCTTGTCACCAGAGGGTTGGCCACTAGGTGAATCTTTTTTTTTTTTTTTTTTTTTGGCAGTAGCCTTTCATGAAGACAATCTATTAAAGTGTAGAGGTTGCCATTTATGTGGGTGAAGAAGTCCCCATACTAATGAAATCACAGGTCCTTGAAATGTACATATATGGTAAGCACCTTGAAAACCTTAAAGTGCTATATAAATGCTAACTAGATATTAGTCTTGTTAGGAAAAAATATTGGTCATCCTTATGTATTTGTGTATTGGATAACTTCCCTTATATTGCGCATATAGTTAATTCCTGAATGTTTCACCTAAGAATGATGGCTGTAATGTTTTAGTACATGCTAGTATTTAGCTCTCACCCTCAAAGAGACTTGGTGGGGGTGTTTCCATGTGTAAGTTAGCCAGAATGAACCTGGTAGAGAATGTTAATGAGACAGGAGATAGGGTTTGGAAGGGGGTGATTCAGACTGAAAGAGTTCAGCTACTTTAGTCAGAATCTGCACTCAGAATTTCTGAGCATTGGTTTGTCATGGCATTTTGAAAAGGGCTTAAGTGGTGATGATGCACACTTCTGCTGGACAATGTTATCAGTATGCCCTTCGGTCCTGAAATGCAAACCTTTCTCCCCGAAATTCCGCTTAGAATTCTCTCCTACAGCTGCAGTTACCCTGCTTGTTCTGTCCTTTAAACTGAACTCTAAAAATGAATGAAGTTAATTGGCAAAGAGCTAGATTTACAGGGCCTTCTTAGTTAGGGGAGTATGACAATGTCAAAAGTTCTGTTATCACTCAGTGTAATTAGTCAGGCTGGTGGTGAGTGGAAATCATTACTGCTTCTAGGAATATCTCTTGGGGAAAATTCTCTGTTAAGAAGGTCCTGTCTTTGTGTACAGTTTGTATTTCTCATATCTTCATGTTTGTTTGGTTAGATAAAAAGTTCTTTAATGTTACTAGCTTATACTTCTTTAGCACCGTATGACTTAGAGTGTTTTTCTCACAATCCACTATGAGATAGTGCAAATATTATTATTTTCACTTTACAGATTGAGAAACTGAGGCCCAGAGAGGTTGAGTGATTTAACTATAACCACACAACAAGTAAGTGGCAGATTTGGGCATCAAACTCAGGCCTCCTACCTCCAAGTCTGGTGCTCTTTTTGCTGTATGATGCTAGCCATGCAATCTGTTTTATAAACGTTGAATTACAAAGAATTTATTGAGAGTAACAACATTTGCAGTATGATAGCATGACTTTTGGCTTATTTATTCCCCATAAGGTGAAAGATCGAATTACTTAACGGGACTATGTTTATATTAGCAGTCAAACTGGAACTGTGTCCCAAAAGACTGACTCTCAGTAGAAGTGTGATTGTAATCCTAATCGAGACTCTTGGGTTAATCAGCTGGAAGAGATTTCTTCACCCTTTGGGCCTAGATGAGACCCTCCCTCTCAGGATTGCTGGGTATCTGGCATTAGTGGCAAGACACACTACTATGTGCTATTACTGCTGTAATGTGGTATATAGGAAAGAGTGCTAAACTTGGAGTGAAGAGACTTGGGCTTAAGTCCTGACTCTCTACTGCTTACTAGCTATGTTTTCTTGGTCAAGTCACTTGATCTTTCTTAGCTTAAATTTTCTCATCTGTAAAATGGGAATATGTGTACTTCTTATATAGCTGTGAGAAAACTGCTTTGTAAATTGTTAAACATCTAAATGTGAGTCATTATTACTATCAGTACATTGCAGGTCTATGTTTTCATCATATGTGTGTTCCTTTTGTGGACGATACTGGCTAAAACTCCTTCACAGTGATGATGTGACAAGTTGCTGTACCTCACAAAATTCCTTACCTGTTGGCTAACATCTTTGTACTTAGCTAGGCTGGTACTTGGACAGAAAATATAAAATCCATTGGTGGGCTTATACTTGAAGGCTTTCTAGTTTAGTGAGACTTTTCAGAGCTTGTCTTGTGCTGGAAGAACTTTTGAGGACCCAGAATCATCTCTCTGCCACAATGAAGCATTGGAGGAGCACCTAAGAGGAGATTTATTATTCTTATGATTTTTAAATTGCTTGGGGTTTGCACTTTCATTCTTCCCCGGCAGAATACTCTGGAGAGTATAGCTGAGATTGTTTTGTGCTTCAGGCCAAGGTGTCCATCGATAGAGTTGGCCCAAACAGTGTATGTGCTCTGCTAACTAGGCTAGTAGAAAAATAGAAAGGATTTGTGGTTTGCTTTCAGATCACTTCTCAATTTAATTATAATTCCATTTGGTCTGCCATTATGCATGTTTCCATTCTTTCCCTATTGAATTTAGATGCCTCAGAAGATAAAAATGATGAGAAGAAAAGGAATTCTTCCTTGGCAACATCTTCGAAGGATGCCTCTGACACAAAAGATCAAAGGTGAAATTCCAGCTGACAGAGATACTCAAGGGAAGTGTAGACTGGGAATCATTCTGATGTGGGAGGGGAGACCAAAGGCATCTTTCTTTTTGACTTTGTGTCTCTCTTTGTTTTGGGGCGCAGACCCCTATTTCCCCATCAGTAGAACATGGATAAGAATCAGTGCATTTGCTTCAGAGGGATGTTGAGGACTAAAATAATGACTGTAAATTACTTGTAGCTCTTTGAAAGGGAAATTGTGGTGAATATTATATTATATACAAACAAATCACCAGTCTAACCTAGTCTGAAATTGGATAGGATTTTTTCAACATAACTCTTTTGGGACATGTGCACATTTCTGATTATCCGGTTGGGGCACATGCCTTGCCTATGGGCATGGGATTATTTTCAGCTACAGAAAATGTAAAATATTAGGACTTATTATTTTATTTTTGCTAATCCTATTTTGCTAATCAGAAAGCCATTTTTGGTTTTTTGGCATGGATGGTTTTCCTGTTTGCGAGAAAAACTCTTGTCTATTCATCAACGTTTTATGAAATGATCATGGGATTTGGAGTCGGAAGAACTGGCATTGAATCCTGGCTCTCCTTTTTACTAACTATATGACCCTGAGCAAGTCATTTATCCACTCTGAACCCCAGTTTCTTTATTTGTAAAATGAAATGATTGGTCTGGTTGTTCTCTAAGGCCCCATTCATTTCTAAATCTGTAATCCTGGGGTACATGTGTTAGGATGGTCCTTTTCACTTATTCTTACTTTGCTCTATGAGGAACTTTTCCTTTGTATTCTTAACTGTATTTTCTCCTGTTGACTAGGCTTGGTTTATTTAAACTTTGTTTTGGCCATTCCATACATACTTGTTTGGCTCTGGTGTTTCTCTTTTTTGATTGTACAATTAACTTGGATAAAAGTTATCCCACATGCAGCTGCTTGAGAATGATTGGCCTGGCATCAGATGCCCTTGAAAAGCATTTTTCCAAGGCTGAAAGTGGTGAGGTTTTCTTTCCTTCTTACTAACATTATTTTAAATGAGAACACTGCCTCTTTCTCTCTTTGAGTTTTTCCTATTATCTGAAGAAAAGGAGTCTGTGAAGCTTGGGCATATGATAAATTATCATTAGGGTGTCTATATAGACTGCATAAAATCATAGGACCTAGAACTCGAAGGGACTAGAGAGGTAGTCCAAACCCTTCATTTTACAAAAGAGGAAGCTGAGCCCTTTGGTTACCTAGATTATTAACTGTAAAGTGTGATCTGGAGTTAGCTCCTTTGACTTCAGTTTATTATTAAAAAAACCAAAACATGCTGTCAGAATTTCCCATCATCTCAAAACTCCTGCAGAAGTTCATTAAGACTATGTCATTCATTACAGATGTCCCCTTCTTTAAGGAAGACAGGATGAGCAAGGATGATTCTACTGGGTTACACAGTAATGTGGGGTAGGAGCACCTTGAGAGTGGAGAAGAGCAGAGGATTTAGAGCTATAAAGGGACCTTAGTACCTATTGCAAATTCCTCATTTTATAGATGAGGAAACTGACTTGCCCTGGTTATACAAGTGGTTCATATTGGAGCCAGAATTTGAAATCAAGTCTTCTGATTCCAAATTCAGGGTTTTTTCTATTATACCGCACTACTTTATGTTAGACTTTATGTTTTGGGGCTGATTTAGGACCTGTCATTTATATAGTTATGAGAAACTAAACAATCCCAGAAAATTTTCTTAAGGAAAGAAGGAAGGAAGGAGGGAAGGAAACAAGTATTTGTGTGCCAGGCACTGTGCAAAGCTTTGAGGATACAAATATAAGCCAAAATACATCTATTGCTCTCAAGGATTTTACATTCTTTTAAAAAAATTTTTTAAACATTTATTTTGACTTATCAACAATCACTTCTATAAGCTTTTGAGTTTTAAATTTTTCTCCCTCTCCCTTCCCGACTTCCTTCCCAAGATGGTGGGCAATCTGATATAGGCTATACATATATATTCCTATTAAATATATTTTCACATTAGTGATGTTGTAAGGAAGAATTAGAACCAATAGGAGGAACCACCAGAAAGAGGAAACAAAACAAAAGAAAAAAAATAGCAAATAGTATGCTTTGTTCTGCATTCAAACTCCATAGTTCTTTCTTTGGATATGGATAGCATTTTCCATCATGAGACTTTTGGAGATGTCTTAGATCATTGCATTGTTGAGAAGAGCTAAGTCTACCAGAGTTGGTCATTGCACAATGTTGCTGTTACTGTGTACAATGTTCTCCTGGTTCTGCTCACTTCACTCAGCATCAGTTCATGTAAGTCTTTCCAGGTTTTTCTGAAATCTACCTGCTCATCGTTTCTTATAGCACAATAGTATTCCATTACATTCATATACCACAACTTGTTCAACCATTCCCCAGTTGATGGGCATCCCCTTAATTTCCAATTCTTTGCCATTTTACATTCTTTTGGGGGAAGCCAACATACAGAAGGGAGCTGAAAAGCAGAGGTTTGAGAGGGGATGCAGGATGAAGGTATCTGGTAATAGCACCATGGTTTTGAAGTACAGAAGCAAAGGACAAGTCTGGGAAGAAGTGAAGGCCAGCCTGTCAGCTTTCACAAAATGGAGACTTCTCTCGGAACTCACCAGTGGGTGAAGGAGGTGGGCCTAGCAGAGGGATGTTCCATTATGGAGAGGGGGCAGCAGGCATAGTTGGATGTTCAGGGGTGAGAAGATCCCAGCATCAGGAGCATGGTTTTGAAGTCTGGAAGGCAAGGACAGGGCCAGGTTTGTTGTTGTTCATTTGTTTCAGTCATGTCTGACTCTTCATGACCTCATTTGGGGTTTTCTTGGTAAAGATACTGGAGTGGTGTACCATTTCCTTCTCCAGCTCATTTTACAGATGATGAGAGTAAGGCAGGTTCACACAGCTAAGAAGGGTCTGAGGCCACATTTGAATTCAGATCTTCTTGATTCCAAGGCTGGTGTTCTATCCACCACAATACCTACTTGCCCCTATAAGGCCAGGAGTCCCTGAGAAATATGACTAGTGTAGGGAGGAACCTTCCCTATTAGAATGTGATAAGTAAGTGCTGCCCCCAGGTTCCCTCAGGAGTAACACTGTTCTTTATACCCCCATCCTATTAAGAGCATACAGTGAGAAATGTATACTGGAAATCTCTGCCAGAAGCATAGGTAAACCTGTGATTTGACGGAGCCCTGCATGTGAAATGAGTTTTCCCCAAGTGAGAAGTGCAAGCCAGGAGAACTTCTTTCTACAACTGGGTGTATTAAAAAATGTGCTGGGGCAGCTAGGTGGCGCAGTGGATAGAGCACTGAGTTCAAGTGTGGCCTCAGACACATAACACTTACTAGCTGTGTGACCCTGGGCAAGTCACTTAACCCCATGGCCTAACCAAAAAAAAAAAAAAAAGAAAAAGAAAAATGTGCTGGACTTGGAGTAAGAAGTCTAGGGCTCAAATTCAGTTCTAACTGACATTTGCAAGCTATGTGACCGCAGACAAGTCATTTAATCTCTCTGAGCCTCATCTGTAAAATGAGGATACTATTTGTACTAGTTATTTCACAGAATTGTGGGTGGAAAATGCTTTATTTACAAACAAAAGTATTTTACCTGCCCAAGGATGGAAGATCACATAGATGGTAGATGATGTCAGGCACAAAGTGAAATTGTCCTTAGGAATAAATGTGTTCTGTTATAATTTCTAAGCCAGTCAAGGTCATGGGGCACTGTAGACATAGTTGAAGCATTGGAGAGAGTTCTAGACTTCCAGAGATGAGGACCTTGAAGCCCAAATAGCTTTTTGGCTCTAGACAGTCTACTGAGATGGTCTAAACTTGATCTAGACTCAGATGATTTCTTACTTGGAAGGATGGTAGTTGTTGGGGGGCTGGGAGGGAAGACAGAGGTCGTGGGAAAGGAAGACTTAAAATAAAACAACAATAATTTCAGAAGTTAGTGTGGTGCTGGGGAAATGAGCTCATTTTCTACACCTGTGTGTTTTTTGCTTTTCTTTTTTCTTTTTCCCTTTAGGAAGTCCTTCTGTTTCCCTTTAGTGCATAGACTTGAATCTATAAATCTCACCTGACTAAATACAGTAACATCTGCTAGGAATGTTTCAAAGGACTTTACATAGGATCTAGTGCTGAGTCATGGGATCCACTTTAGACATATGAACAGCAATAGCTGATCTTGTGGTCTTAGAGATCATCCCCTTCTTTTACAGAAGAGGAAACTGAGGACCGGGAACAGTAATTGACTTGCCCGAGTTCACACAGGTAGTAAATAGCAGAGCTGTGACTTGAACTCAGGTTTTCTGTCTCAAATCCTCTGCTCTTTCTGGTCACATACTGCTTACATGTTCTTTCTGTGAATGCTGTAGTTCAGGTTTGGAAGATCTGATCTTAAAACAGGGCTTAAATTAGGGGACACTGCAGACACGTTATAAACACCCTTCCTTTTTTTCCTTTCCCCCTCTTGTCCCCTCAGATAATGAATGTCTTACAAGACCATCCAAATCATGACTAATTTTTCAATATCCTGAGCAGAAAATACTTAACTTAGTGGATTATGATTTATGAAATGGGCTAGATCAAGAGATTGAAATTCTCTATAATTTTCCAGAGAGTTGAAATTCTCTATAGTTTTCCATGGAAAGTTGGGAAAAATATTTTTTTCTATTAGAGATTTGTGGATATTGATGACATCTCTCAAACTTCTGTGGCTGGAGCCTCTTGACATCTGACGCAGTTACACCTGAGAATTGGTAAGGGCTCACAAGTTGTTTGTCAAGGACTAAACCATCTGACATAGAATTATCATTACCTAGTCCTTTGGTATTCTCTGCCTAAGACCCAAGGCAGTTTACTTCACAACCCAACACACAAGATTTTCCCAGGAAGGACTTGTACTACATTGAATGACAAACACTCACATATAGGGGAAACCATCCAAGGAACTAGACTTCCTTGAGCCACACTGCATTGTTACAAGGCAGTCTTGCCTGGATCTTTTGTTTTCTTCGTTGAAAAATACACAACTCAGCCACCGTCTATGATGAGCCACCAAATACCAGCCCAGAGACCTGGGTTCTCTGCTTGCATGTGATACCTACAGGTAGACTCAAAGTGGGAGTAAAGTTGGTGGCATTGTGAAGGTTACTGGCAACAGCCTCCTGACTCCTAGCCTCATGTGTGAATTGCCTTGTTTTTCTGATTTGTGGTAACATCTTGTTTGGGGGACAGAAATATTTCATAAGGCTTATAGGGTTTTTCAGGTAGCCTTCTCTGGTTTGTTGAGCAGAGCTATTTACCAGTTTTCTTATTTTTGTTACCCTATCAATTCTCAGCTCTTTTGCTAAAGGAATCACATAGGGTAAGTGCTATGTTTTTAAAGCCTATCTTTTTTGGTTTCCTTTAAAAAATGGTCTCATCACTAATCAGGCCATTCTTACAAATTAGACCTATTTGACCATGAGAACCCCCCTTTTTTTTAAACATCAAAAAAAAAAATTCACAGACTCCCTCCCTCTCCCCAGTAATCTATAGTTTAGGGACTTTTTTGGGGGGCATAGTTCCAAATTGCTTTCCAGAATGCCTGGATAAATTCCCTTCAAACAGTTGTCATCTTTCTTTTCATCATCTTTGCCAGTCTGATGGAATGAAGTGGAAACTCAGAGTTGCTTTAATTTGCCTTTCTCTAATTAGTGATTTGGAGCGTTTAGAAAAAAGTGGTCATTGAGAGCTTGGATTTCTTCCTTTGAAAACTAACTGTTCATATCCTTTGAGTGTTTTGGATGGTAATATTGAACTGGAAATAGATTTGGGGTGCTTTCATTGATTTTTGGGCAGCTATGTGGCACAATGGATAGAGCACTGGGCCTGGAGTCAGGAAGACTCATCTTCCTGAGTTCAAATCTGGCTTTAGACACTTACTAACTGTATGATCCTGGGCAAGTCACTGTTTGCCTCAGTAAAATGAGTTGGAGAAGGAAATGGCAAAGCACTCCAGGATCTTTGCCAAGAAAACCCCAAACAAGGTCACAAAGAGCCGGACATGACTGAAAAATGACTGAACAACAGACAACATTAGTTTTTATTTAACTCACTTGGTATTATGCCATAAGTCACACATATCTGTCCCATTGAGTTGTCTGTGGTTGCCTCAACCAGAACATTCTGACAAAGTTTCTTTTTTAGCTCCAACAAAAAACAAGACCCACCGAGGACTCTATCCACTCCGAAAATTACCACCTTTCCTCCTATTCCCATCACCTGTGATGCTGTTCGTAACAAATGTCGAGAAATGCTGACAGCAGCCCTTCAGACAGACAGTAAGTGAAAAGAAGCAGATAATCAGAGGGTGTGGGCCACTGAAGGTTCTGTAATATGGTAGGATCCTAAAAATTCCTCATTCCCCCTAAACACAACAGGGAAAGGCCTGAATCCTGAGATATATGCATCTAGAAACTCCTGGCATTTGGTGAATAAAACTCTTGGACACCCCAGTGAGATTTTCCATGTAAAGGTGTTTAAATCTTATGAAGTACTTTGAAGTTCTTGGTTGGAAGCTCCAAATAAAGTTTTTGTTATAGAGGATCCTACTTTCTAAAGATGTCATGATGCCAAATCTAATTTAAAATATAATGACTTTGGTCATATTTCATTTTAAGTGCCAAATTAATTAGAAGGGTTGATTATATTGTGGTCATTTTTGTTTATGACAGATGGAAAGAGTCAAGGGAGAGGACAATATAACCCTGAGAGATCTGGGTTGTGGAAATGGAAAAGACCTCAAAAGTAAATCAGCTACACAGTTTGGGTTTGGCGTCAGCTATAAGTTATGGGCATCACTTTATTTCTGGAAAATGATGAATTAACTCAATTAGCTTCTCACAATGAAAAAGTTATTGTTTTTTTTTTTTCTTCATGACATTGGTGGTTGTTTAGAACTCTCTTTTGTTTACAGATGACCATATTGCGATTGGTGCAGACTGTGAGCATTTATCTGCCCAGATTGAAGAATATATCCTTTGAAAGAAGGCTTGCCAGAAAGAGGCTGAGTAGATGAGTACTTGCTTCACAGCTTGGGAGGGAGTCACAAATGGGCTTAATTATGTCTTAAGAGAGATGTTATCAATAGCTCAGGCCATTCCTATCTGGGGCTGTAAGACTATAAAGTTAACATACTGTATAAATCTTTTAGTTAGTTCAGTTTATTAACAAATGTTTCTTAAGTTCCGGGCCCAGCGTTCAGGGCCCAGTGCTACAAAGATGAAAAATAGACTAGTCCTTATTCTCAAGAGTTTACAGTCTAAAGGAAGGTGGTGGTGGATGCAAGATGAATACAGAGAAATATGATGCAAAGTAGAATATGATATGGTCAAAGGAGAGATCCAGACAAAGAACTCTAGGGAAATTTGAGAAGTGATTGATTGTTTTCATCTGGGAGGAGTGGGGGATGAGAGAGAATGGCATTTTTTGTGGAGCTTGAAGGAAGAGGATTTCAAGAAGTGGAGATAAGGAGACAATGCATTTTAGAAATTGGTGATGGCCTGTGGCAGGTGCATAGAGATGAGAAGGACGAGCTAAGAAGGGTGGAGTGTAGTTCATACCCTGTATCTAGTCAGTTGCCAAGGCTTACTGATTCTCCCTTCCAGCATCTCTCTTATCACTCCTCTTCAGCAACCAGCATTTACCTGGAAGCTCTGGATTTGGGGTGTAGTGTTTCTGGGAGTTTTCATTTGGAGGATAAAGTCTGATTGCTGTCCCCCTGGTCTGAACACTTTGAGTTCTTTACCTAGGTTTGGGTCTGAGCAACAGTAGACTGGCTGCTGGGCTCAGTGCCAGTTAGACAGCTGAGAAGCTCTGCTGGCCTAGACTGACAGAAGTGTAGACTTCCTTTTGGCCTGGCATTTCTACCCTGTAGACTTCAAAGCCACGCTGCTGCTTCTTGCTTCTGAAGCTTTTCCTTGTTTCATATACAGTTCAGGGTCTATGCTTGGAGGGTAGAGGTGGGGCAGGGGCAGGCAGACTCCCCTCTTTACCCCACCCTGGATCTGTGACCCAGAACTGGCTAGTGGGTGACAAAAGTTACTAGTTGGCATCATTAAGGTGCCCTGGCATGGCTCTGGCATGCCCCAATATGGGTCTGGGATCTCTTTTTGTTCTGGCACACAGCCACTTCCTGTAATCTACACCAGACTGTCTCCAGTGTTTGAAGACTTCTCTGTCTCCCTGTACTGATCTGGACTGGAAAGATAACTCACTCTGACTTTGCCTTGAATTTCTCCATCAGGATTTCATCTGGTGTGCTTTGTGGATCTGTTTGGAGAAGGTTTGGAGGAGAACTTGCTGTCCAGCAGTTCCATTTAAAAGATGCCATAAGTCCCACAAAAACATTGATTCACCTATAGGCAGGGGATTGTATGAAGGATAGAATTTCTCCCTACTATTGATGGCTATGCTTGATGCACATACAATATCTGCAGCAGGACCTTTTGGTTGGTAACGAGGGATGAGAATTAATTGTATTAGCCTCTTGTGATAACCCTATACACTAGGATTGTTTATTCTTCAAAGCCTTAGCTTTTTGTTTAGTGTTTGACATCACAGGATTATGCCATAGAGAAGAATCTTATTGTTGATTGATGTAGAATGGAGCATATCTAGAGGCTGATCAGATTGGTGAGAGGCCTGGTGGCAATACCAAATGGGAATTGATGGAAGGAATCTGAGGGTGTTTACTCTGGAGAAGAGAAGATTTAGGGGACATGTGGTAGTTGTGTTCCAGTAATTGAAGGGCCATCATTCTGTCTGGATCCAGAGAGCATATTTAGCAACAGTGAGTGGAGGTTTCAGAAAGATAGATTTTGGCTTAATGTATGAAAACACTTTCTAATAATTAGATCTGTTCAAAAGTGAATTGATTTTCTAGGGATGGAATGTGTTCCTCTTCACTAGAAGTCTTCCAGCTGCCTGATTATTTGTTGAGTTTCAAATCAAAGTGATATGTGTCAGCCATCATCATCATCATCATCATCATCGTTATCATTATTGTTATAAAGTTCTTATCTTTTAAATAGTTTGGATAGAAATAGTACCATGTTGCTACTTACTGTTATTCTTTTATATTTAATGTTCTATGAAGTATTGCATATGCAGATAAAATAACTTCCTTCTATAGTTGAATAGAAGTATTAGAATGTAAGCTCATCTTCTAGGCTCAGAGAAAACCTCCTCAGTTCAACTCCAATCGCAGACAAGATGATGAGGAAGTCTACCTTCTCATTTCCTCGCGTGATTTTGCTAGATTTCTACATTTTGAAAACTTTTTGTTCTGTCTATCTTGAGATTATGAATATTTGGCATAGAAACTTCTCTTAAAATGTTTTTTGAGTTTTTATGAATCTGAATTATAGCTGGGTGATTATGGACAATAGTTCAGTCTGTGATGAGGTTCTAGTTCCAGTACAGTTTATTGGTTGAGTTCTTAAGGATGTAGGGATTTATAGTTTGTTAGTCCATGAAAGATAGCAAGCTTCTAATATCTAATTCTATCCATCATTTCATGTCTTGCTAGGTATTCACACAGTTGGATTTCACCTACTTTTACCCACTGTTTCTAGATTTGCTCTCTGGAGCCAGACAGAATGATGGCCCTTCAGTTACTTGAACACAATTATCATATGCCTCCTAACTCTTCTCTTCTCCAGATTAAACACCTGGGTCATATAATTTCTACTACTTCCTTATATAGTTTGAATTGATCATTAAGTCTAGTCTCCTTAAAGCTAACTTTTGTATAATTTCTGGTGGTGATCACTTGGTCTTGAATTGCTATCATCAGGTCCTCCATTTCTATAGACAGATCCCCATGACTTGGCTGGTTATTTTACTCTTCCCTGTCTATGTTATTATTATTTATTTTCATTATACTAATATATTAGTATATTATAGTATACTATTATTATTCTAAATATATTGGTGGTTATGAGTGTTTGGTATGGGAACCTCTGTTAAGAGGATTGTTCTTGCATTTGGAGGTTGGAGTTACGTCTAGGTGATTGTGGGCAAAAGTTTTGACTGTGGCAAAAAGGTTTTGCATTTATTTTTAATCAGGTTATTTTTTTGAATTCTCAAAGATGTTTGGGTATCTGTATTTGTAGTGCAAACATCTGTTGTCTGCTAGTTTTTGGAGGATAGTTTGCTTCTGGTGTTTATTTTGGCCACTTGATTATATCTTTTTGGGTTTTTGTTACGTATTAAATTTTTGAAGCTTGTAGGAATATGTTGCTCGGCGTCTTACTATTTCTTTGTGTCTTGAAATGCCATTCTGAAGGAGTTTGGACTTATTAATTGATGCATATTTTACAAGGAAACTATATAATGTATCATTGCAGGCTACAACAATTAGCATCTGCTGAATACCTAGAAAGAAATCAAACGGTAAGAATTCCCCACTGGAAGTTTGTTACCCTTCACCACGTAGCAGGCAACAGATCCCTACACTACAAATACAGACAGCCAGATATGTTTGAGAATTTATCACATAAACTCTCCTGGAACCAGTGCAATATCCCAGACAAAAACTTTTCCCCAAATTGCTGATATAACTACTGATCCCACAGATTTAAGAAGTGTTTTTTTTTAAAAGAAGTATTTTTAATAGATATTGCAATACTGGAATGTCATTTCACTTAGTTTGAAGATTATGAGTAACTTTCAAACTATAAAGACCTAGCAGAAGAACTCAAAACCCTGTGGGAACTGGCTGAGGTACATAGCATTCATGGCATCCTGTCTGCTGCTGGAGTTGTACTGAAGATGCTTTCAGTGAACCTACAGAATACTTTTGTTCAATAACAAAAAGTAGTCAGTTTATCCAACAAGGCAAGAGTCTGCAAAATGTCAAATGTAGAAGAAAAAGAGGATATTGACTTGTCCCAGGACTATTTCTATCTGAACTCCATTGAAATAGATAAGAAGAATGACATTGCATTATTATTATTATTGTTTTAGGTGGTGGGTAAAGCAGGGTCTTATGTGACTCTTAGATGCCTTTATACGGGTGCTTAAACTAATAGATGATCACTGAACATCAGCAATATTTTTGTCGCCTTCCTTGTTGGCAGAAAGTGTATCAGCAGAACCTGAGGTAGAAAGAACATAATTTATATGGTAGACTATTTATTTTCCCTGCTTTTCTTTCTCCAGTTCCTAAGCAGGCTGTCATATGAGTAGACATGTGCTCTCTTTTCTTTTGCTTCTTGACCTTAAACTGGCTTTCCAGAAATGTCTTTACTGCTTGTTTGTGGCACATCCTTTTTGCTTCCAGTAAGCGTCTAGGATGATGAATTATCTCCTATATCCCTGATGCTGGTGTGTAATACTGTCCCTGTGTTAATGCAATAGGTTTATGGAAGATTTTGTTAACATTTTGAATATCAGATACACCAAAGAGCATTTGGAAATTCTTATGCTAGAAGGCATTGATTCTCTGATTGCTGAGGGAAAAGCAGGACATTTCTCTTCACCTTATAAATCCTTAAATATACTTGTACATATCTACCAAGATGTCAAGAATACAGATATGAAATACAAAAACCGAGTGAGAAGCCGGATCTCCAACTTAAAGGACTCTAAAAACCCTGACTTGAGAAAGAATGTTTTGTGTGGAGCAATCACACCAGAACAGATTGCTGTGATGACCTCTGAGGTGAGATACTAAACTCTCTCAATTCCACCTCTCTCCCCCCTTGAATATTGGCTGTATTGCTGTTCAAATAAAATAACACTTAATAGATTATCCACAGAATTCCTATTGCAATGGAATCAGCCAGACTTTTAGTTACAGTGAGAGTTATTAGTCAAGTAGGCCCATTCCCCAGGCTTTAGAGAAAGGATCCTGTGGAATTCAGAGAAAGTATCATAGCGTGAGGTTTTTTTTTTTTTTGTAATGTTGGACCATGAAAGTTAAGACAAGCCCATTAAGACAAGCCAGCACTGGGTCTTCTTTGGTAACTCCCAAAAGTGCCTAGCCTAGGGCAGTATGAAGGTACTACTATTAACATGAATAGCATTGATGTGGTATTTAGAGGAATAATTCAGTATGTATTCCTTGAAGTATGGAATATTTTTTTAAAAGGATTTAGTGATGTCTCTGTACCTACTCTCTTGTTTTAGACCAATGGTGTCAAACTCAAATAGAAATTGATCTCCATGGACCTCATATTGACTTAGAAAGCCACAAATTAATATTATCTGAGCGCTCAAGGCATAGAGTTTGACACCTCTATTCTAGACCATTTTGATCACAGAGGATGGAAATGTAGTAGTAGTAAAGACATATAATTTGGCTACTTATGCATGTATTTGGTAAAATAAGAGGCAGTGGAATGTCCTAGGGTTTGACCTTAGCCATGTGCTGTTCAACTTTTTTTTTTTAATAATTGACAGGGCTGGAGAAATATAGATAGTATGCTTACAAAATTTAAATATACCACAATGCCAAGAGGGATAGCCAACACATTGAATGACTGGGTTAGAATCCAAAAGACTCTCGGTGGGCTATAGAACAATGATCCCCATCTAATATGAGTTTCAATTGAGATAAATGTAGGATTCTACATTCAGGTTAAAAAAAAATCAGTTGCGCAGGTATGGGATAGCAGAGGCATGGCTAGATAATCATCAAGCACTTATTAAGCATTTATATGCTAAACATTGTGCTATGTAAAAAAAGATCTGGACATTTTAGTGGACCTGTAAGTTCAACATGAGTGTGTGACATGGTAGCCAAAAAAGCTAACAATCTTGGGCTGTTTTAATAGAGGCATCAGTGTCTACTAGGAGAGAATTAAGTCCTGTTACACTCTGCCCTGGACAAACTGCATCTTAGTATCCTGTTCATTTCTGGGAGCCATATTTTAGAAATGACTTTGCAAACTAGAGTTTGTACAGAGGGTGACTAGAGAACTGAGGCTTTGTTAAAGAAAGTGGTATTGTTTAGACTGAAAAAGGGAAAATTGTACTTGTCTTCGAGTCTTTGAAAGGCTCTCACGTGGAATGGGGATTAGAATCTTTCTGCTTGACCTCTAAGGGCAGAACGAGGATCAGTGGGGGGAAATTGCAGACAGAAATTTAGCTCAGCGTAAGGAAAACTTCCTAACAATTGGAGCTGTCCAAAAATAAAGGTTACAGAGTTGTCCTTCTTAATGGAGGTTTTGTTTTGTTTTGTTTTTGGTGAGGCAATTGGGGTTAAGTAACTTGCCTAGGATCACACAGGTAGCATCAAGTGTCTGAGACCAGATTTGAACTCAGGTCCTCCTGACTCCAGGGCCAGTGCTCTATCCACTGTGCCACCTACCTTCCCCCTAATGGAGGTTTTGAAGTGGAGGTTGGATGACCACTTGTTAGTATAGTTGTTGATGTGATTTCCATTCAGCTATGTTGGATTAGATGACCTTATGTGGGAGTCCTTTCCAACTCTAAAGTTCATTGTGTTTCTCAGACCTTTGTATTTTAAAATTCTTTTAGTAAAATTTGTAAATATTACTAGGTTGAAAAGGAAAGTAGATCACCTCTTGCCAAAGAGGTGATGAACTTAAACATGTAGAAAAAAGAGACATGCATTTTCAGGGATGGCCAATGTGGGAATTTGTTTTGCTGGACTATGTATACTTATGAAAAAGGTTTTATTAGGGGCAGCTAGGTGGTGCAGTGGATAGAGCATTGGCCCTGGAGTCAGGAGGACCTGAGTTCAAATGTGGCCTTGGACACATAACACTCACTAGCTGTGTGACTCTGGGCAAGTCACTTAACCCCAGCTGCCTCACCAAGAAAAAAAAAGGTTTTATTTTTGTTTTTCCTGTTATTATTGTTCAGTGGGGGAGGTTGGTATTGAGAGGGACAGATAAATGCATGAAAAAATGAATAATTTTTAAAAAATGGAAAGTAGAGTCCAATAGTTATTAAAAGTTGATAGCAATGATTGCTCATCCTGGGCTTAACACCTCCGGAATTATGTCAAGAATCTCAAGGAGGGTTGTTAAATTCTCAAAGATGTCTCAAAATTAATTTTTAGTCTCTAGATATTAAAAAAAAAACATGTCACATAGCTCTTTGAGAAAGAACAAGGGGAGGGGACATTGTGAAATTAAACAGATGACAATGGACTGTGATAAAAAGTGGCTGGGAATTGCTCTCTATCTTTCAGTGCTGCTGAGTTGCTACTTGACCTCATTCTGTAGCTCTGGTAGGTTTCTGGGTCTCTGTCTCAATGTCCTTTAATAATTTTGGTGTTATCATGTGTTATAGACTGCCTTTTCTGAGCAACTTACTAAATATGTTGATTTCCTTTGTAGACTTTTTATATTCCTTGATCTATAAATTGGAGATTGTAAAGCAAATATTAGGAGAAGTGTAGAATTATTCACATAGTGAGTAGCCTGATTTCAACAGATGCTTCTTAAGAAAGAAGGGTTTTAGACTGTGCCATGTGAAGACTGGTGGAAGAAACTGGTAGTGTTCTGGAAACTGGAGAAGAGAAGATTTGCAGGGGGTGGGGAACATGATAGTTATCCTTACATGTCTGAAGGGCTGTCTCGTGTCACAGTTCAGTTTGGTCCCTGAGGGCACAACTAGAAACAATGAATGGAAGATGAAGAGAGACAGATTTTGATTTGATTTAGGGAGAACTTTCTAATAATTAAAGCTATTCAGAAGAGCAGTCAACAGTAAAAGGAAGTTGGGAGTTCCCCTTCCCCAGAGGTCCTCAAGCAGAGCCTGATAGAAGATTTGTGAGTGATGTCAGAAGATGGGGTTCTTGTTCAGGGCCAGGTTAGCCTAGATTACTTCTGAGGTTCCTTCCAACTCTGAGAATCTGTGATTCATAGGATTTAGGGCTGGAAGAGGCTTTAAGAGATCCCCTTGTCCAGTCTCTTTATGTTATTGATGAGGAATCTGAGGCCTTAGAGAGGTTAAGTAACTGACAGATTCAGGATCCCACAAGTAATAAGTGGCAGAGACCAGATCCTCTGACAGGAAATCCATTGTTTTTTTTCTGTTATACCACAGCTGTCTCCCCAAGTGCTACAAGTGATTTGCTATGTTGTGACCAGTCTGGCTGAAATTAGTGCAGAGATAACCTTTTTTCTTCCTTAAAAGTTAGCATGGTGAATAAATCTATAATGCCCAGGTCTCAGCTAAAAATTTTAGGGTTTTTGTAGCTATAGTGTTATCTTTAGCATACAGAAGCATATAACCTACAATTCATTTCATGTTATTGGAACTTGGATTCTAGAGCTGCTTTAGGCACTGATGTTTTTCTCCCCTTACAGGAAATGGCCAGTAATGAACTAAAGGAGATCAGGAAAGCCATGACCAAGGAAGCCATCCGAGAACATCAGATGGCAAAGACAGGGGGCACCCAGACAGATCTTTTTACCTGTGGAAAGTGCAAGAAAAAGAATTGCACTTACACTCAGGTCAGTATCTTCGTTCTTGGCACAAGTTAGCAAGGCTGTGATTGGGTGTGGCTCTTGGAACTGAGTGGCAGATGTAACGGGGCAGGGCCTTGCTACTTTATTGATGGTAAAAGCAATAGATTAATCTGACTTTTAAGAATGCAAGTGTGTGATACCATCATTTTAAGCACTTAGAGTTTTGATAGTTTTAGTAAAACTGTTCTTATCTGTTTTGCAGACTCATAGTCTCCTGCTCAATTAGGATCTTTTTTTTCCATTAAAGGATTGGGGGGAAGATCTATTCAGGTCTTGCCCTTCCAATCATAGTACTGGGCTGTGTCCTTAGGAGGGAAAGGGGAATTGGAGCTGTCACTATGTGCTTTTGGTCTGAACTAAGGGCTTACCAGAGTGTCTAGGTTCTTTCCACCTTTTCTTCTCCTCCCTATCTCAGGCGTCCTTCCTTCTGCTGCTCCAGAGAGCTAGCTCACGAGGATAGCTTAAGACTCCCTTGTTTTCCTGAGTAGGTCCTTTGTTCCCTGTATGGCAGGCACACAGTACCTTCAGTTCAAATTCTTTCCACAACATAGACTTCCAGGTAAGACGATTATTTTACCTGGTAGCCTATGCTGTCCTTTATGGCATAAGTTTTTACAAAGAAGTGGTTTATGTGCAAAAATAGTGTTTTTAGAACCCAGATTATAGCTGAATTGTTGCAGATATTTTGTTGTGTCCAAGATGCATAACAGGAGGAGAGAAGAAAAGTAGGGATAAAGATACTCTTTATCTCATGAGCTAGCTCTCTGGACTCTTCAGATTGAATGTCACATGGTGAAGTGGCTAATGCAACGATGTCTTGATATGGCTTTGTTATACTTACAACTTTTATTCAATCAAATTTGAACCTGGTACTTAGGTGAGTCATCTGAAACTTCTGAAAAGGAGAACCCTTGTTCCACTCCCCTCCTAGAATTAGGTGGCCTTGTGCCACTTTTCATTCAATTTAATGAACATTTATTACACTTTTAAAATGCATTCTATTGCCAAGCATTGTGCTAGGCACAGAGTATACAAAGACTAAAGATGGTCCCTGCCCTCATGGAACTTGAGAGATGGTGAAAAGAGCACTGGACTGGGAATCAGGAGACCTGGGTTCTAGTCCTGGCTCTCCCACTAACTTGGCTGTGTCACCTTGGGCAAGTCACTTACCATCTCAGGGCTTCATTTTCCTCATCTATAAAATGGGTGAGTTGGACTAGCTGACTTCTAAGGTGCTTCTAGCTCTAAAATAGTATGATTTTATGATTCAAGTTCTGTGGTTATTTTCTCAGGTGAAACTCTTAGTCTCAAGTAAACTGTGGTTCTTTGGTTGGGGGGTACATAAATGCCCCATTGTTTTGAAGGTTGGGTGCACTGTAATAGGAATAGTGTTCAACCAGTAGGGGTGCACATGGAAGAGTGAAGATGCTGGCAGGGGAGGCTAGGACCTGCAGTATGGCCTGCACAAGAGGCCATGCTGAGCTCCCTGGTGCAGCGGCAGGAGGGGAGAGAGAGAACCCTCGAACACAGAAGTGGAAGATGCTCGTGGTCAAGAGGTTGGGGGAGCTCAAGAGAACATTTGGATTCCAAAGAGATGTTGGAAAGCACAAAGGTAAGAGACAAGAGTGTCAGGGCAGCAGCTAAGGCAGAGAAGTAAGATGTAAGCTTATATCAGGCAGTGTGGAAACTAAGATGTCAGTGTTTGTGCAAGGACTTAGAGATTTACTCTCCCTCCTTCCCAAGACAACCTTCTCCTGCCTGTTGTTTATACTTGGGAAATTAACATTTTTTTCTTTACCCCTCGAGGATTCAGACAGCTTCATTAGCAGTAACTAGGTTGGTTTGGTTTATGTTACAATGGAATAACTGGTTGCTTGTAAGGCTCAGTGTTTGAGTGGGAATACTAAATTTACTTATTACCTTGTTCTTTTTTCCAGCAGGAAGCTTGACTCATGTGGGTAAAGGAAGGTACAAGGGCCAAGGGGCCTTCAGGAGGGAGAAATTTAGGGGTCTCTATCCATCTTTCCATTTCTAAAATGGAAAGAGATGGCAGACAGAGAATTTATTCAGATAGATCTTTGTTGTAAAAAAATGCAGATGTCAGCTCTTTCAACCACTGAAGTGGGAATTTGAGGATATGTTGAATGTCTGAGCATGTTCCCGGCCTCTTATTCTCCACGTTCATTGCAGTTCAGATTTAGATTTTAGAACCTGGGGCTATCAAACATGAAAATCCCTCCTCTGTAGGATTCATTGCTAGAAATTCCCATTAAGAGCTTTTCAGGACTGAAGTTGGCAGTTAGACCAATCTGATCATAATACCAAACATTTCTAGCATACAGAAATATACCATCCCCTTTTCTTTTGCTCTCCCAGAGCTCCAGATGATGAAACAAATGCAAGCTTGCCTTCATATAGCATGACTTTTTCAAAGACAAGATGAGTGTCTTGTTTAGTTAAATTTTCCTGGCCTGGAAGGTCTTACTCTCAATAGAAACTAAGCTCCCCCCCTGTCCACAGCAGAATGAGGGTAGAGGATCAATCAGGAACCAGGTCAGATCTGTTTTTGAGCTTAAGGGGGGTAGGTCAAAAGGGGATTGGTACCCAGGGACAATTGTTTTTTCTAATAGTGATCATAAATGTCTTGATTTATAGATCATTTTTCTTCCAGAAGAGCAAAGTACTTTGCAGACATTATCTCTGTGATCCTTTCAGCCTTCCTGTGAGGTGGGAGAAGGCAGGGATCTGCAGTACATTTTACAGTGGGGAACTTGGGCAGAGAAATGTCAAGCAACTTGCCCAGGGTAACACAGCAAGCCAGTGGCAAAGCCAGAATTAGAAATCCAGTTTCCTTTAATTCATTCCCGCCTTGTATCATAGCTATAGTTTTCTGTTTCATGTTAGGTGGGAAGGAGGAGGGTAGAAATGGTACTGTGTATCAATATTAATTGCTAAAATTAAAGAGTGAAGCGCTTTAATAAATTTGTGACCTTCAGTCAAACATGGTCCTCCCTTTAGCAAATGTGACTGGTATTTTGTCCACTGGTGCTCTGCCAGTCTAAAGGGCTCCAGAGTGATGACCTGGGGGAAGTATTGCATGCATGAGCGGGGAAAGCATCGTGATTCTCCTTTCTTTTCTCTCCATTCCCATAGGTTCAGACTCGAAGCTCTGATGAGCCTATGACCACCTTTGTTGTTTGCAATGAGTGTGGAAACCGTTGGAAGGTAGGACATGTCGCTTCATGTACTAAGGTCCTGGAGGTCTCAGAGATGGTAGGACATGAATGATCTGAACAGTTTGTACACCCCCCCACCCCAGTAACAGGGATTGTAGACATGTGCCACTACACCTTACTCCCCCAGAGTCCTTTTCACTGAGGAATGGTAGAGGTCATTTTCCGAGACAGGGGTGACCAGTCCTCAGGGATAGGTCCACTCATGTGGGTTCCCCTGTCTCACATATCTGGATTACTTCATAATGGTATTTTTTAAATATACATTTTTATTGATATCTTTTGTTTTTACATCATCTAAATTTCCCCTTGTACTTACACTAGTATTTGTGTGCGTGTGTGACCTGTCTCGGCTACAAAAGGCGTTTTGTTCTCTTTTGCCTGTATAGCTGGGGGTGGGGTGGGGTGGGTGAGTATGTAGGAAGGTTAATAATTAAGAGCTGGAAGTTTCCCTGAGAGCCTGGCCCTGAAGATCAGGACCTAGTGATGCTGGCCACCCTCTCCCTTCAGCTTGCCCTTGGTTCTCAGCTTCACAAAGTCTAATGGGGATATCTATATCTGTCTGACCGTCACTGCTATGGAATACCTCCTAATCATATGCATTTATACATATACAAACATATATACAAATACACACATATCTCTGTCTACACACACACACACACACGCGGAGAATGGGTAACCACATTTTGTTTCCTGGGCTGGGTTACATCCTTGTAGTCATTCTTCCTGGAACTATATAGTTAAAAATCAGAAACCATTTCTTCTAGTGTCATACCCAGCAGTCGTGTTCTTGCGTTGACATAGACATATGCACGTTACACACACAAATACTTTTTCTCATTCTTTTCTATAGATTAGACCCTCAGGTGAAATGCTTTATTCCCTTTCCTGTCTTCTCCTCTCCCTGTTGTTACCCAAACCTTGCCCTCCGGGTTCTTACCCTTCAACTACTGGAGCCCCTGGTGTGGCAGCTTGGTTTCTCAGGACTAGCTCACATTTGCAGGGTGGCTAATGTCCACACCTAGGAAACTCTGGGCCTTTACCCTGCTCTGACCTGCAGTTTCCAACTGTCCCCAGGGAGACCCCCATTTTTAGGTTGTCACTGTCATAGCCAACTTCTCAGAAAACGGGTGGGAATTTTAGACGTGTGATTAGGGTTGTCCATTCCCAAATGGCAAGGACCATGTCTTTCTGGTTTTTTTTTTTTCTTCTTCTTGCTTTTGGCCAGTCACCTTAGTCGGTGTAAGGTTTGATTGGGGATTAATCACATGCCTCTTTTCCCAGTTGTCTCAGTAATTTCCCTCTGTGGGATGGAGCCAGTGTACTGACCCTAATCAAGGGGATCACTTTTGGCACCTGCCACTCCTTGTGCTGGGGTGTGAACTGTAATAAATCACCCAGTGAAGTGTGAAGCTTCCCTCAGGCTTGGGCCTGGCTGCTCTGGCTATGGAGAGACTTTGGGTAGGATGGCATTGACATTTTCTTAATTTCTTACAGTTCTGTTGAGACTTTGCAGAATGGGACAGCAACCACTGAGCCAGGATGGGTCCACCCTCACGTTCTCTAGCTTCTAAAGCAGTTCTGTGCTGTCTTCCCCAAGTTTCCTTTGTTATGAACACATCCAAGAATGGGGCGCTGCTGTGCCGAAGGCTTAACCTCGACCTCCACATATGCTCCAATGAAATCCATCAGCTGTTAGGGGCCCCAGGAGGGCGGGCAGAGAGCCTGTCCACACAGCCTGGCCATTTCAATGGTCTCATTCCAGTATGTATCATTATTTGTTTGTTTTCTTCCAAGTAATAATAAAACATTTCCTTTTTGTCACTTTCTGCCATTACTTTGCCTTTTTGCAATTCCTTGATATGTCTAAGTCTGTGATTCTAGGAGCTTATAAAGCACCTCATCTGGGGCATAGTGTGTACTGCAGTCAGGGCATGCCAGCTTCCTCATTTCTACGCCTGGAAGGCCTGTCACCAAGCCCTGCTGCTCCAGTTCTACACCACATCCCAGCACGCTTTGGGCAGAATTCTTGTTAATGCAGAAAAGATTGAATCCCCAGGACTCTCAGTCCAATCAGAATGAATGTGAGGTAACCTGTCCAGCGTAGAGCTGCAGCCTGGATTGGTGGCTTGGATTCAAGGAGTCTTATTCTGGGGTCCAAGAAGAGATTCTGTTGGTTCCTTGTATAAGGTCTGTTTGGACAGACCAACCTGGCAGCTGCTCTGGATACTTATTTTGGCCTTTCTGCTCACGTGGGAACACATGTACCTTGGAAGCCACGCATTATGCGCAAGGGGTCTGGGGATCAGTTTGTCTACTGCTCCTCTGCCCCAGAACTAATTTCTAACATTATGGGGGTTTCAAGTATCAGGAATTTCATTTTTGCATCTGTCCTTTTCCCTTCCCTTCAAAACTGGGTAGTTAGAGACTGGTAGCTGGGCAGGTAGGGGGGTGTGTGTGTGGGGAGTATGGGTGTGAGTGTGGGTGTGTGTGTCTGAGAGAGAGAGAGAGAGAGAGAGAGAGAGAGAAGGAGAGACAGAGGGGGAGAGAGAGAGAGAGAGAGATCATAGATAGGCACATTGTTTCATTTTCCTCTTGGATTTCCTGCTGTTGTAGAGCTTAGTTTGGAGGTGCAGTATACTGCCATTGGGAGGCTACTGGTAAATGCCTCCCCACTCAATGAGGAAGCTTCAGGAGACTGTTGATACCAAAATCAATCGGATATCCTCATTGACAGGGACAGATCGAAGATGTGAAGACTTCTTAGGGAAGCATTGTTATTCCTCTGGTATGGGGGGTATGTTATTCTTAATAGAGGTTATCAGAGCTGTGTCCTGAGCAGTGCAGATAATGGTGGACTAGATACAGTCCTGGAATCCACAGCTCCAAGATTTTTCAAGAGAAGCAACATAGAAGGAAAACCAACATGTGAGGATACTCAGCACCTTCACCAATGTGTTAGGAATTAGACCGTTCTGGGCAGCCTTTGCCTGTGCAACAGAGAGTGAGACCACCCGCTCTGTGAGAAAGCTGACATCTCTGACTTCTCACAACAGGAGGCCCTAAAGCTGCTGCCCGAGACAGACGGGCAGAATAGCAGTAGCATATGGTGCTACAAAAGGATCTGGTCATGCCAGCAGACCACTGACATGAGCTGCCAGTGATGAGCTTCTACCTGACCCACTTTGCTGAGCCCTCAGGAAGCCCAACTTTTCCCTGAGAATTTGCTGGGCCAGACAATTATAAAGACTTCACGAGCTGGGGTAGAATCTTGCAAAGAATAAAGTGATTAGGGGTAGCTAGGTAGTGCAGTGGATAGAGCACCAACCCTGGAGTCAGGAAGACCTGAGTTCAAATCCAACTTCAAGACGCTTATTAGCTGTGTGACCCTGGGCAAGTCACTTAAACTCTATTGCCTCAAAAAAAAATATTCAGGTCCTTCACATGAAAATTATTGTTCACTTTAATTCAGTATCACCTCAGAGATAGCAACCAGGTTCCTTAAGAAAACGTGTTTAAATAACATGAGGAAGTTTGCATTGAAAGACTAAGCCAGCATAGGTTTTGCTACCAGAGTTTGCAGAACAGGGAGGCTGTGTACCAGTTCCCAAACCCTGATCCCTGGTAGAGAGGAAGTCACAGAAGGCATGGGATGAGGACAGGAGACTTGCATGGCTATCCCAATGTTTCTGAGGTCCACATTTGTCCTGGGGAACTTCAGGTTCTTATTGCCTGCCCTTGGTTTCAGGAAATGAGGGAGCAACTCCTTCACAAAGCACTACCCCCATTCACTCTGTTCAGTGTTATGCTGGCTTCAGAGCTGGAGGTATATGAGGACTTAAGCCTCATGTTGACTTGCTGGCCAGTTTCCTGATTTAGGAACAAGGGGAATGAATGGTTTTAGTCATATTGAAAAGTAATGCCTTTTTTATTTTTCCAGTGGCGAATTATCTAGGTGTAGATGGCCCAACTTGCTTGCTTCCTCTCATCCTCTTGTAGTTTGCTTTTGGACTGCAGCATTACTCCAGAATCTAAGCAATGCATAGGTTGGGAGAGGGAAGGAGGCAAGTGATCTAATGAATTCACAGGAAGGTTGAGAGATGGAGTGAGCCTGAGCCTCAGTGAAGTTTGTGATTCTCTGGGATTCTTTGCTTTGTTTGGCCTTTATACCTCTGCAGATTGTGGAACATATACCACATCTTGTTGCCTGCCAGGGTATCCTGGAAGCATCTCTTGGCCAGGAAAAGTCAGGTCATCACAAATGGACAGGGCTTATTTGAACAGGGGCATTGGACAGAACACTTTCCCAGGCCGTAGAAGTTGCCCACAATGTTAGCCTCCCAGAGAATGCCTGGAAATGCTGGCAGAATCCAGGAGCAACCCTTTTTTAGCTTGCCCAAGGCTGAGAAGGCTGCTGCCCTTCTCCTGACATACGACACGTAAGCTCTGGTCCTGGAAGAACCATTAATATGAGGAAGTGTCTGGAGTTTCAGCCATTGTGTCAGGCAGGAAATTGGGCTAGAGTTGGCATTTTCCAGCAGCTGTTGTATCCCCAGCAGTTTAGGGCTGGGAGGAAGCTGTGGTTTGTGAGCTTGTCACAATTGGCCAAGCTTTCATGTGAGGAATATATGTGTGTGTATATTTATGTGTGTACATATGTATACACACATGTGGTTTTTTGTATATATATATGTGTGTGTATGCACATGTAAGTATAGATGTATGTATGTATGCACACAGAGGAGAGAGAGGAGAGATATGATGGCAGATGAAGTGATTGTCTTTTGGGGTTGCATGGAAATTTTATCAAAACCCAGGAGGTACCAAGCTACTGACCTCTCAGGCCCAGGTTTTTCTGAGGTTTCTGTTTTTTTTTTCTGAATCTGTTTGCCCCGAGAGATCTGCCTGCGTGCTTTTCAGGCTGAACTACAGGTCAGGCACATAAAAGGCTGTGGAGATTCTGTCAGAATGAGCAGTTCCTGTCCTTATAGGTACGGCTGTTATGGTCTTCCCTCACCAGTGTGAGGGAATAGCCCACCTTTGGGCTATTGGAGGGTCACTGACACATCTCCTTGGGCTCAAAACTTCATAGGGAATGTTAGGCTCTGGCTATCTCATCGGTGATGAGAGATGACTAACACAATTTCTTGCTAGGCTTTGATTGCAGTTAGGGACACGGTTCATCAAATGTGGCTGGGTTTTTTGTTCTGGAACCTCATTGCTTTAGTAGGGGAGGTTCAGCTGTCCTGAAGTGGCTTTGGGCTACAGTGGTAGGTAATGATCTCCCTCCATCACTGGAGGTCTCTGAGTAGGGGCTGGATTCCCACTTGTTGGGCATGTAATAGATGGGATTCATACTAGGGATAGCAGGTGACTTCTCAGGTCCTTTCCAGCTCTGAGATTCTCTGACCCTAAGCCTAATATAAATATTTTTTTGATATAATCTCATGAAATTCCACTACAGTGCTTTGATGCCTCCTTGTGGCATGGAAGTGACCCTGAGTTCTTATGGCTGTGCTGTAAGAGCCCAAGCTCTGGTACTAATTACAAACTTTGAGTGCAGTCTCAGTAACAGACTGTCTGTTGTTCAAGGACCAGCCTGTCAAAGTTTAGAGAGGCTTATCACCAGAATATTGTCCAGTGAGTTAATGTTTTTCCTCATAGCAATCGGCATTTCACAAAGGCTGTTAATGGTGGCACTGTGTCATAATGGAAAGAGACTTGGGTTTGGAGTCAAAGGCCCTTGGTCTAAATCCTGTTTTTTTCCATTCACTTTTTGTGGGACATCGGGTAAGTCATTTAACTTCTCTGGGCTTGTTTACTCATCTGTAAAATGAGATGACTGGACTAAATGATGTCTCTGCTCCCTTCCAGCTCTCAATCTATGAACTGTGATCCACTAAGGGACCAAGAGTGTTATCTGAATGAATGCAGGGAGCAGCATGCTGAGGATATGATAGGTCCCTCAGTCATTTTTTCTAGGCTTCCAGGTCCCTGAAAGGATGCCCTTCCTAAGGTGAGGTGCTTTAAAAAACATTTTTGTAGTTAGATTAGAAGGCAAAGTGGACTTTCCCCAACTCCTTCTGATGTCACTCAGAATGTATCTCGATAATATTTGTACAACACTTAGCACAGTGACTGGCACATAGTAGGCACTATATGTTAGCAGTTATTATCTCGAGTTAAAACTCGGGCTCAACTAATATTGATGAAAGAAGGGTGACATACTTGGTCTCCCTCCCCCTCCCAGTTGGATGGCATAGCTGAACAGGATCCTTGTTCATACCAGTTAGGATATATCAGTTAAGGGTCATCAGGGAACCCTGATAGAAGAAATTTGTTTATGCAGCTAAATATATCCAAAGCTCTAAATGGAGGAAATCCCTGCTTTTGGATATGTGGACAGAAGCATGCCTGTCTGCTCCTTGGGGAGCAGTCTTGCCTTCTGTGTGTGACTGCTCTGGATCCATCGATCCTGAATGTCTTCTGCATTACAGCCAATCAGGCGGATCCCCCCAGCGCGAAGGTGCTTCCCAGAAACGAAGTATCCTAGTCAGACCTCTGGCCTGTTTGTGTGGTCCAGGGTTGTTACTGTAAAATTATATATAAGCCAGCTTCATCCTGGACATTCTCTTGCCTCAAGGCCACACTGTGTCTAACCTAAAGGCATCTATGAACTGTGGGTGAACTGGTTTGATAGATAAGGACCTAGGAGCAGCACCTCTTCAGGGCAGGACTGGGTCAGGAAACTAATTTAGAGGATTGGAAGGCCTGCCCCCTGGTGGTAGCTGGAGGTAGTGTTGGGAAAGACGGTCAGGTTTAGTAAGTTAGTGA